CAAAAATGATTTGGCTTAAAAGGAAGTTTTAGATCACCGGGGTAAATAGAAACCAGTACTACCTGAACAAAAAAGACCAAAACAGTAGCAGTAAAAATAAATATAATAAAAATAAAACAATTAAAAAAATGTTTTGACTAGATATTGTTGTCTGCCAGAGACTCTAAACCTAGGATCTGCTCTCTCTTTACTAAATAGGGATATTTGCAAGTGTCAGGGTAGTGTTAAAGACACAACAGCACCACACTGAAGCTTTCTCCCTATCATAGTCTGAAGACGGGAAGGAGAATTATAAAGGAGATCGCTCTCTCATTATTGGATGCCGGTTAAGACTATGTTTGTGGGTGACCTGAAAAGCATTTCCAGCCCCTCCAGCAGCCTGATCTCAACCTCCCATCTGGGAAATTAAGTCAGAGGATTCCTAAAGTCCTTCCAGCTCCAACATTCTAAGATCCCTTCCATCACCCACCGGCACTCCTCGCCCTCCAGCAGCTTGCGGTAGGTGGCAATCTCGATGTCCAGGGCCAGCTTGGTGCTCATCAGCTCCTGGTACTCGCGCAGCATCCGGGCCAGCTCCTCCTTGCCCTGGTGCAGGGCAGCCTCTAGCTCGTCCAGCTTGGCCCGGGCGTCTTTCAGGGCACAGTCGCCCCGCTGCTCAGCATCGGCAATGGCCGTCTCCAGGTTGGAGCACTGAGGGCAGGGAGGTACTTTCTCTCCCTGAGTTCTGAGGCACCCTGAGCCTCCCTTCACCCTACCAAGTTCTCACTGTGGTTGGACCCTCCCCCATCCTGCCCCACCTCCTAGGGCAAAGCCACATCCATGGCAATGGGGACTTGTCAGCCCGGGACTGGGAGGCTTGTCATTCTCAGCCACTTGGCTTTCCAGAAAGAGCCTTCCAATTGTTCCAGAATTCAGGTAGGAGCTAAGTGTGAGGGATGAGAGCAAGGCTTCCATTTGAGGAAGGGGTTCTGAGGCAGAGGATCCAGAGAAGGAGAAGGGCCTGGAGGAACGTGTGTGACTGACAGTGCTGACAACCCCTCCCTCGGGAGTGAGCTGGGAACTCCCAGAACCCCTCACCTGCTTCTTCACACTCTCGATCTCCGAGCGCAGCCTTTGGATGAGCCGAGTCAGCTCTGAGATCTCGTTCTTGGTGTATTTGAGGTCATCCCCATGCCGGCCAGCTGCCAGCTGCAGCTCCTGGAACTAGGGGAAGAGAGCAAAACAGGGAGCTGAGCTCACCAGCAGACTGTGTCTTTACCCAGGGAGTGTGGCAGAGGTGGGCAGGGGTCCCAGCTTCACCAGTCCTCTCAACAGCCTGCCACCCAACCATCTGTTCGTTGGATGTATTTATTTGCCTCAAACACAGTTGACCACACTGATGGTTAGATTTGGCCATTAGGACTATCGAAAAGTCCCATACTCTCCACGCTGCAACTTAATAATGTACAACTCCAATTATGATACTCCTCTGCCTATAGCCCTTCAAAGTCAAGGTCAAATTCAAACTCCTAGCCTGGCATCGACATACTTGGAGATCTGGCATCCACCAGCCTCTCCAGACGTACTTCTCACTTACCCTACCTGTCACCTCCTTGGCTCTCCACCCATGCCAAATAGTCCCAAGTTCCAGAAATTTCCCGTGTGCTCTCAAGTCTCTGAGTCTTTGCATGAGCCTCTCCTTCCAGCTGGACAACCCTTCCCCTTCACCCTCCCTTTTGCCCTAGCCAGCTCCAACTCGGCCAGTGCAGACTCATTTCCTCCAGAAGACCTTCCTCAATCCCCGAGTTGGGTGTACTTCTGTGCCCATAGCCCCCAGCATACCAGTCCATAGGTCCTACCATACTGTACTGTGAGCACAGTTTCTGTGTCTTTCCCATCAAACCCAGAATGACTGAATAGCAGGGATCTCTTATTTTATTTCTGAATTCCCAGGACCTAGTACAGGGTCTGGCTGGTACTCAGAGTAGGTCTGATGAATGAATGAATGCATGCATGCATGCGTGCATGAAACCAAAGAGGGAGCTGATGGGCTGCCCACCTGTATTTTCTGTGACCTTCCCTCCCTTCAT